TAAATATGACGGCAATTCTCGCAAGCGCCAGGAATATAACTGTTAAATTGGTGGGTTTAGTTCCACTTTAAGGCTCCATTTACATTTGGGCCTTTGTGATCTTGGGCAGAATCACTGCGATTCTGCCCGTGATCCCAAAATGCTCTGTGAAAATGACAAATCGCAAAACACCTGTTCGTTGCCATTAATTTTCATTGGCATCAAAGCTCGGCGCGATTGTCATGTGATAAATCGTGCTGCAATCATGGAAAACTACATTACACAAAGCTTGCCGCTCAAAAAGGAGCAGGAGCTTCACAATGTGGTTTGCCTCAATTTATCGTGCAACAGTTGCAGTAGAACCATACCGTGTTCCGGTGCCATTGAAAATGAATGGCACCCGTACAGGCGAGCAATTTGTCATTTTTGCAGAGCGTTTTGGGATCGTGGGCAGAATTGAAGGCATTCTGCCCAAATTGCAAATGCCCAAGTGTGAAGGATGCCTGACGCAGAACTAAACCCATCAATTTAACAATTTCAAAAAACAGTTATATTCCTAGCTTGTGCCGGGATTGCTAACCATCACATTTGCTTGTGTTCTCAACCAAATTGTCAGACCATCAAATGTCTGGTGTCATAACTGATCACATGTGCAGTACCATGGCAGCTGCAGATCAAACAAAGGCTAAGATGGAAGCTTCCTTGGCGGAAAACTATAGGTAGGTTTAGTTCTGCTTTAGGCTCCATGCACACGGGGCGTTTCAATAACGCTGGTAACGTTAGCTGTGTAAAGTCACATTAAAAACGTGAGTTTTTCAGCGTTTTTGTATTAGTGTTTAGTGGTGTTTTTTTCGCATTTGCATTTTTTAGGGGTTTTTAACCAAAAAAAGCTATTTCTTTTAGTCACAAAAACATCCAAAAATGCTGGTTTGCTGCGATTTACCACGTTTTTCCAGCATTAAAGCATTTTTAAAGCTAAGAACTCCTCTAGAAACCCACCAGTTCTGGGGGGCTGGGGAGTTTACTTGCTGTAGAAAGAAATGTCAAAAGCCAAAAACAGCCGCTGTAAAAGTGTCCAGTGTGCATGAGGATTTAAAGTGTTACTAAACCCACAACAGTAAAATCAGTCTGTATATGCAGTAAAGCATGCTTGTTATACTCACTGTGGAACCCAAGGGGTTAATCCTCCGCATTGTGTAAAAAGGCCATTTGATCCTGTCTTTTCTGATCTGCCCCTTCTTCTACTGTCCCCAATCCATCTGCTGATAGTATTGAGCTCTAGCAGTCACTGTACACATGGGCAGTTTGGTGTGTATTGGCTAGAGAGCTTTTCTTCTTTGGGAAGGTTCATGTGATCAGCAAAGAGCCAATCAGCACTGTCCAGAAAGTGTTCCTGCACATGAGCAGTTTGGTGTGTATTGCTACAGTTTGTTTTTCTTTGGGAGAGTGCATGTGATCAGCACAGGGCCAATCAGCACTGACCAGAGGTCAGGGGTTCTGCATCCTCCTAGAGCAGAAAGAAAACTCCTCCTACAAGCTTTAACCAGTGCTCTGCTGAAGTCACAAGACTGCTCTAACTGCTGATGAGAAAAGGTATTTAGCAGTTTATATTTACTAAAATAATTGTATTTCCATGTTGTGTGTACTGTGGGAGACCAGATATAGTGAATGCAGGGTCCTGGGTTTAGTAACACTTTAAGGGTTCTTCAGGGGTTCCTTAGCTAAATGCCTAAAAATTGCCCAAAAAGTGTTTACAAGCCAACAAGTGGATGAAGTCTGCCTGTTAGTTACACAAATCCACAGATTTTCATTGTGCACCATTACAACCTTCCAGATACTAGCATCCTGACAACCAATGACATTATCAATTTATAAACAGGACATCGGGCTCCTGCATTGCATCCTTGTTTGCCCCTACCCTGCCCCTCTCAGTCAGCACTGAGGTCACATTAGCTGAGCCAGGGAGAAGAGAAACATTGGAATACTAGCAGGGGCGGGCTGACAACTCATGGGGCTCCCGGGCAATAGGGGATCATGGGGCCCCTGTGTCCTTGCCCAAACTCAAAAAAGCCTATGAAAAAGGTACCAGGGGCATCTCATGGGGCCCCCTACTGACCCCAGGCCCTTAGGCAGCGCCCGAGTTTCCAAATGGTCAGTCCGCCCCTGAGTACCAGTGTGGAAATGTGTATTTGCTTTGGAAGAATAAATCACCTCTAATGTTGGCTGTTCTATGTATGTGGAAGTAAAATTATTAGTTTATTTTCTTTCATATTAGAATGGGGTGCCTCAAAGCTTTGCAGAATTTTAATGGGTGCCTTGACTGAAAAATGGTTGAGAAACACTGAGCTACACCAATCTCACAGCACAGCTCACTCAGTATGGGAGGAAATAGGTGGGGTGGGGTGGGGGGGGGGGGGGGTGCAGGTAAAAGGACAGCATGTGGTTAGCATGTCTGCCTAGCTCCCATATCTGTGGTCTAGGAGTTCAAATACCAGCCAAGACACCATCTACAGAGGGATTGCATGTCCGCACAGTGCTTTTTGGGGTTTTAGGAGGATCTTCAATCCTCCCCAACAAAAAATAATTAATAGACAGCAGCAACAAATAGCTGCTGCCTTTTAATATAAGGACACTTACCTGTCCAGGGATCCAGCGCTGTCCTCACCCGAGCCGATTCTTTGCCGGTCTTTGGGTCTCCGACGCTGGCATGTCTACTAAGGGAAGCCAGCTGTGATTCCTTGTGTCTTCCCAGCTGGCTTCCCACTGTGAATACATGAGCCACGCCGAGCTTTGTGATTGGTCGCGCAGGATGTGTCCCAAAAGGCTGCAGGCAAAGGGGGGAGGGTACCTTCTGCTCCGACAGTCTATCCAATAGGTAGCAAACAGAAAACTGTGAAAACCAGGTACCAGCTCCCCCCCCCAAAAAAAGTGTCTAAAAGCGGTGGTGGTGGGGAGGCGATAAAACAGAACTTCCCTTTTTGGGTCTTCAACACTAGCTGTGATTCCTTGCGTCTTCCCAGCTGGCTTCCCACTGTGAATACATGAGCCACGCTGAGCTTTGTGATTGGTTGCACAGGATGTGTCCCAAAAGCGGCCCAAATAGAAAACTGTGAAAAACAGGTACCAGCTCCCCTCCCCCCCCCAAAAAAAAGTGTCTAAAAGTGGTGGTGGTGGGGAGGCAATAAAGCAGAACTTCCTCTTTTGGGTGAAGTTCCACTCCAATTGGATTCTCTCTAATATGGCCCTAGTGTGCACGTGGGATCAAGTCTTTCATTGTATGCTTCTTGTCCTCAGGGAGTAGTGTAAATGAATAGTATGTACAGCACTGCATACAATTGGCAATGCTATAAAGATAACTATAAAACATTTTTAAAAATGCCATGTAAGTAATGATTTCATTATCTGTACAGCTACACAGGACTGATTGTTTCTACAGATAAGTATAACAAGTTTTACAGAGTTACATTGTCCCGGCTTAGACCAATTTAACTATGTATGTGCCATACATACAGTAGTTTAGATCCCTCTAAAAGCTGGAAATCACTGTAGCAGGCACTGTTACTGCAGTGATCTCTGCTAGCATCCAGGTCACAGTGCCCAGCAGCTGCCCTGCTGTATTCTGAACACAGGTCACTGACTGAGCACAAGCACCAGAGGACACATTGCATTCTTTTTGCAAAAGCAAAGCATTCTCTTATTCAGGGGTCTCCAAACGTTATAAATGAAGGCCAATTTACTGTGGGGTGGCCAGTGGGAGAAGAAAATGTCCTGGTATCAGTGGGAGTAAACAATGCCTCATGATTGGTATTAACGGGAGATATAGTGCCCCATTACTGGTATCACTGGGAGGAATTGTTTCCCCTTTTTGGTGTCAGTGGGAGGAATAGTGCCCCTTCATTGGTATCAGTGGGAGGAATAGTGCCCCATCATTGGTGTCAGTGGGAGGAATAATGCCCCATCACTGGTGTCAGTGGGAGGAATAGTGCCCCGTCATTGGTGTCAGTGGAGGAATAGTGCCCCGTCATTGGTGTCAGTGGGAGGAATAGTCCCCCGTCATTGGTGTGGGAGGAATAGTGCCCATCATTGGTGTCAGTGGGAGGAATAGTGCCCCATCATTGGTGTCAGTGGGAGGAGGAATAGTGCCCCATCATTGGTGTCAGTGGGAGGAATAGTGCCCCATCATTGGTGTCAGTGGGAGGAATAGTGCCCCGTCATTGGTGTCAGTGGGAGGAATAGTGCCCCATCATTGGTGTCAGTGGGAGGAATAGTGCCCCATCATTGGTGTCAGTGGGAGGAATAGAAACCTGACATTTTAACAGGGATGTATAGACTTTTTATATCCACTGTAAATGTATGCAAGTATACATTTATAAATAAAAATTAAAGTAAAAAAAAAAAAACAAAAAAAAAAAATTTGCAAAGAATCCAGTCACCCCAAAAGTGTCCTGCAAAAGTTTTATAAATGTTTAACTGGTTTATTAAAATGGATACAAGCCTCCTCACCTTGGCGGACGTGTATGATAATAATGTTTTGCATTCCTTCATAGAATTACAAGGGAAATATGAGCTACACGTGGGTTTTTATAGGTTCCTGCAACTTCGACATGCATTGCATGCCCAATTTGGTACTGATACACGTAGTTTTTCTATATACCCACTAATAGGCATTCTAAAGTGTCAGGAACCTAAGGGAATGATTTCTGAAATGTATGCTACCCTCATTAACGATCCAAACTAAATGGCAAACACCTATTTCCAGCCTCTGATGAAAATTGGGAGGAAGCATATTCTTCTCATTTATCACTTAATCCAGCTGTTCATAATAAATTGATACAACTTTATATGCTACACAAATCTTATTTGACCCCAGTTAGACTTCACACTATGCACCGTATACCTACCCTAAACCAGGGCTTAAAATTTCAAGTCCTGAGCTACTAGCCAGGCCTTAAGATTTACTTGCCACCAACAAAACACACACAAAACAAACACCTGTATAGACACACAGAAACACATACACACACACAGAGACACCTGTATACACACACACACACACACACACAGGCACGCATACACACAGACATGTACATACATACACATGTACATGCACACACACATACATGTACATACACGCACATACACAGACATGCACACACAAACACGCTGTTAAGTGCTCTCTCCTCTCCCCTGAAGCCACCACTGGCTGACGAAGAGGATCATGTGACCAGAGTGAGTTGAAATTAGGTACACACACACACCCCTATAAAAAGTTGCAGTACTTCCTTGTTCACTCACAGAGCTGGGTACTGCACTCTAGGGGGAAGCAGAGAGCACAGCACACACTCCTTCCTTTGCTTTCACTGCGCTCAGCTATTGAGCAGTCTGACGGCTCCCAGTGCCACTGACAGATCCGGCCTGAGCTCCAAGCCTGCTCAGCAAGACGGCCCTGGGGGACACACTCGCCCCCACCATAATTTCCATTCGCCATTAGCGAGCAGGCGAGTGGAAATTTCAAGGCCTGCCATAAACTGTACTAGGTGTAAATGTCCTAGGGTAGATTTTGCTCATGTACTTTGGCCATGTCCAGTGATTGCCAGATACTGGCAACAAATTGTTGATAGTCTCTCTACAATACTGTCTATACCAGTACCTCTCACCCTGGGAGGTATGTCTCCTAGGCATCCTTGATGAGGAGCACTGGTGGAGATATACAAGGATTTGTGAAACACTTTTCCTAGCCCGTAAATGTATCTTACTCTGCTAATGTTGAGCATTACCTTCTCTTGTACTGCTGTCTTTGCATCTTTTACAATAACAAATGGATAAAAAAAAAAAAAAAATAGTGGATACAAAACTGTCCTTCAGCTTTATCCAGAAAAACAACTGCAATATACACACATATTAAAAATTTAAGCAATGTGACCTTTTATTTTATAAAACAAACTAAAGGCACTTCATATTATGGAAAAATATAAGAACAGCACTTGAACAAAAGGTACATTGTCTGCATCCAGTATAATCAACAGAAACTGATTAGCAAAAAAAAAAATATCTATTGACAAATATTACATATTCTGTCTATCAGTACAAGATCATTTATAACACTGGGTCAAGTTTAGTGTGTATAGTAAATCCTTCCTGAACTTATAGGAGAAAGAGCTGTTTGTTGACAGCATGAACTGAAGATGGAAGACCTACATATATGGGAATATATACAAAACTGTACTGAGAGGGCTATTATGATGGACCTCCTGGAAATGCTGGCCATCCAGATGTTCAGGTGGCTCATTGTCATCAATATTTTAGGAGTCACTGACTCAGAACAAGTATGCAGATTTGGAAAGACCGATGTTCTTACCTGCATATTTGTTCCAGGTAAGTGATTCAAAACACTGAAGCAAAATGGTCAACATAACAGCCAAAAAGTTTGTATTTGCAGAGGGAGAGGTCAACATTGGCAGAATCCATTATGTTATTACAAGTTTCTGTTAAAAATTCTTCTTCAAATAAAACTATTTTTGTCCTGTGGTAATATTATTGTGCTCCAAAAGGATGGCATGAAACAAATATGCAGAAGTCCAGATTAAGTTCCATCAACGTAATAGCTAAACAAGAGCGCTGTCTGTGTTACTGGTCTCCGGGGTCACCTCTTCCATAACCACATCCTGCTGAGGTTTCTTGGATTTCGTTTTTGCGGTGCTGCTTCCAACTTCCATGTCCAAATTGGCCTTTTGAGGTTTTGATTGAGGTTCAACTAAGGAAGAAAGAACAACAACTTGTTGGCAGCCCATCACATCTGATCAATATAATAGGTGGTGAATTTATGACCATTCCGTACATTTAGTAATTTTTACTACTCTAATGAACAGCCAAATTAAATTCAGTCTCCTATCAACATTCAGACAGCTGATTGAGTAAGAGGAGGGACAACCCTCATGTTTATTTGTATGATGTGGAGGGTTGTGAACACTCAATTAGACAGCAGGGTGTGAAAATGTTTGAAAAAAAAAAAAAAATACTTGTCCAAGGGACTAAATCAATGTCCCAATCTACATGTCCCTCGTGACAACATTTGTTTTTAACCAAAACCATATTTAAAATCGGAGGTGATATTTTTTTTTTTTTTACTTAATTGTTTTTTCCATCACATAGGGGACAATGTCTCCTATATGATGAATTTTTGGCAACAGGTTCTCTTTATTGAGACATCCAAAGTGTAAAAGACCCTGGATGTCTCCCCTCTGCTCCCCTGAATGTAATGTGGTGCACATCGCACTGCATTACATTCTTTCCTGGGCTCAATTGCCGGGAATGATGTCACTTCCGGGTCAGGACAAGAAGGGGAGTGGAGTGGACATGTCCGCTCTCCTCCCTCCCCTCTAGCCGCCGGCAGTGAGCCGGTCCCAGGCCCGCAGATGGGCAAGCGGAGCCCGGGAGACAGTGGGCAGGGGGGAGCTTCACACAGGGGTGGAGAGGCTGGCACTGTGTGGAAGCATTCGGGCGGTAGCACTGCCGCCCCAAATGCTTCCACCTGACAGGTGAACCCTGCTGTTTGCCCGCAGCAGGGCTGAAGGTAAAAAAAAAAAACAAAAAAAAAAAAAACACTACCTGCCCGAAGCCTGGAACTGCATGTCGGGAGATAGGAATTCAACATCCCTGGAGAGGAATTCAGTCAAAACCTGAGCACTAGTAATACCATGGACATTCAATATATACTGTATGTACACACACCACAATGCTTAAACAGAGTGTGAAGTGTTTTTTTTTACCTGTACTTTCCTATCTTTCAGGCGTAATGACACTTTATATCCACTTAAGCACTCTTAATCTTTTTAGCATACAAATTTAGCAATCCTTAACCCCTTTACGTCTAAGGGTAAAACAAATCGTATTGCCTAAGCACAATTTTGCAACGTTGACATGTGTTAGTAAAACCGTCCATATCATCACAACTACTTTGTACATCCAGGTGAATTATACCTTGTTTTTTTCAGGACAAATTGGGCTTTCATTTGGTGGTAAATGGTAATGGATATCTCCTGATTTTTTTTTTTATCAAAGGAAAACTGGCCCAAAAAATAGTAAAAAAAAAAAAATATTTTTTAATTTATCTGAGTGTTTCTTGTTATTATCATAACCTACCACCAAAAACAACCCAAAATAAATTTTCCAGCTCTTGACGATCACAGCAATACCATGTATGTGTATATTTGTTGTTTGTACCCATAGTACAGCCCAGAAACAATAGTACGCATTTTTTTTTTTTTTTACCTAAAAATACACTGATACCAATTTCTATTAAAAAAAAAAAAAAAAAAAAAAAAAAAATCCTGACCTTTGACCCTGACCCAAACACTAACTCTGGCACTTAACTAGATCAAACCTTGATCTAGGTATTTTTTCTTTATTTTTTAATATTTGTTTATTTATCTCTTTTTTTAACAAAACATTTTCCCCTCCATGCAAAGAGCTAGAGAGATACAATGCATCTCTCTCCTCTATTCATAGAGAAAAAAAAAACAAGGGGCGCAGGCTATACAGTGATTGATCACTGTGATAGCTTATCAGAAGCTATCACAGAGATTATGTGACCCAGAATCAGGAGTCCTGGGTCCTGATCGTTAGAACGGACCCAGGGCTCTCAGTGACAGCCCAGTCTTTCTGCTGGGAGCGCGCTGTGTGGTGCGCTCCCAGAAGAAAGACAGGTACGCAAGTATGCGGCCCCACAGAAAAAAAAACAATTCTGTGAGGCTGCATATTTGTGTGAAGTCGGCACAAAGGGGTTAATAATGCCTAGTAGGCATATAGAGGGCGGTTGCCGGGATGGGACCCAACCCTAGAGGTTGAACGGACACAGGAGCTATGGTCAGAGCCTCTAGGTTGCTTTGTGGCATTGGAGTAGGAGGGTGAGTAGGTGAACAGAGTTCCAGAGGCCAAAGATTAGTCTTAGAACCTAATGGGGAAACTCTTTACACCTAAACATCTGAAAGGCATCCAACTCAATGCCCTACAAGGCTTAATAACCATCCCCTCCACTTGGCAGAGTGGGGGCACACCTTTCATGCTTAAGGTTTCTCCAACATTTTAGCAGGTTTGTTGCTACCAGCCTTGCAACCTGTCTGAAAATGGGTTTTGATACAACTGCTCTGGAAGCAGATGAAGGGAATCAGTAAACATTTCTTTGGGCTTTTTACACTGAGGCATGAGAATGCTTTGGCCTCTCATGACATCCATGATGACAAGGGTAGCTCCAAAAAAAACAGCATTCCTCATAGACCCAGAGTCAGGTGCTCCTTGGATAAAGCATCTGCTTCCCAGCACTGTAACCAGAGTGCTCTGAGCAGTTCAATAGACAAGTTTCCCATATGAGGTACAAGTTTAGTTGCTTCTATTAAGCTACCACAACTGACATCTACTCTACTAAGAATAAGCAGTCTACCACAGTGTTTGAGAGATCTCTTGACCTCTTAAAGTGGTTCTAAAGTCTCATTCTCTGCATGAAGGTAAAAAAAAAAAAAAAACTTCTGTGTAGCTGTCCCCCAAGCCCCTCCCTAATACTTACCTGAGCCTTCCTTTGATTCAGCGATGTCCACGAGAGCCTCAGTTCTCCAAGGACTCACACTCCTGATTGACTGAGTCTATCACACCCAGTGAGCCAATCAGGGGTGGAAAGGGGCGGGGCCGAGCCACAGCTCAGTGTGTGAATGGACATGCAGCAGAGCCGCGGCTTGAGAAAGTGCCTGCTCGGGTGTCCCCATAGGAAGCTGTTTGCTATGGGGACACCCAAACAGGAGGGAGGGGCCAAGAGCGCCAGCAGGGGACCCGAGAAGAGGAGGATCCAGGCTGCTCTCTGCAAAACCACTGCACAGAGCAGATAATGTCACATCCATAGTAGGGTGAATGGTAACACCCATCAGTGAAACTGAGTGTCAAGGAGGGATTCCAACTGGTCAGCAGAATCCTTAAAAGGAAAGCACGTTCTCTACTGGTCTGGTAATTTTTCTGCTAGGGTGGATCAAGGGCCATTCTACAGCGGGTATAGGCCATTGTTTAACAAAATTCCCTCTCAATGGGGTTCTCAGTTCCAACACAAGCTAAGGTAGGATCCAGGACCCTTCAGGTTTCTTCCAGTCTGCATAGAATAAATATCAGGTGTAATGAAAAGGTGTTTGCAACCATAGGGGCTCTAAAAGATCAAAGAAAGGACACAGAAGGCTGATCCTCAAGATGCAGAGTAGTAACTACTGCATCAATAAGGGACAAAAAGGTCACTGGTACGTCTGAGGTAATGGCAGAAGACATCAAAAACAATCTCCTCAGAAGGAGACTGAGTTTGAGTTAGAGATAGTCTCTCCAACTGGTGGCACAGCCTATTCTTTATCTGCATGGAGATCAGACAGACTCTGCAGGGGTAGGTACAGAAGCGCTTAGAGCCTCTGTGTCACTATTCTCAAGGAATTGGATGGATCTGGCCATATGTATTGTATGACTGCAGTAGAGGCCCCTAACAAACCCATGTAATTGTAACTGTCACAGTCATCATGTGATCTCGAATTAATGGAAATGGTTTCCAAGCATGTGTGTTGGACAAGTGCTGCCAGTGCAGGTTCCTAGTTCCATAATAGAAAGTAAAGTCTAACTCCAGGCAGTGATATAATGGTTTAAACTATTGTCCTCCCTTCCCAGTTTATGAACAATATAATGCTAATTTTTCCAAAGATTGAGACAACGGAGTAATAGACTGCTCAAAATTTCTGGCGATTCCTGCTGAATCTGCTTGAGATTGAAATGATCAAATGGCCATGCCAGCGCTGCCAGGCTGGACAAACTTTAAACCAAAAAAACAAAAAAAAAAAAACAAAAAAACAGAGGCCCGGTGAAAAATAGTCAGCCAATCAGTGACTACATACAATCAACGCAGTCACAGATTGGGTATTCTGACTCAGGTGTTGCGGCTTTCTAAATAAAACAGCCGACAGGGAGATTCCTCCATCCACATTGTGAAAGGCTGAACAAGAGAAATCAAGGACTGTTTGGCTAGCCCTACCACATAACAGTCTTCTTTTATGCTGGGTCTAGTTGTGTTGAATGGTCTTCTAAATATGCTCTTTTGCTGGTCTTATTGTCCCTCTCTCTCACTGTGTACAATGCAGGATCAGTGGCCACTTACCACCCGATGTGGCCTGAAGTCTTGCATTGTATGTGATGACACAGGATTGGTCACCTCTCAAAATATGCACTCATTACAAATACCCTATACTCTCTCATTAAACATAAATATAATCGTTGTGTGGATAAAAATCCTCAACAGTACCATCCATTTGCTCTTTTGCCTTTTGAAGATGCTGAAGTTGCTTCACTAATTTTCTTTTCTTCTTCCCGGACAGTGTGATATTTGCTCTTGCACTGGAACTAGAATAAAAAAAAAAAAAAATAGAACACACAGAGTGAGCCATGCTGTACAATATTAAAAGAATTTTGACAAAATAGCACAAAACACTAACAAAGTTCAAGGGCCATTTTATAACATATTTATGCAGGCTAACCTTGTACTGCAGGAAAGCCAACATGTAGTTGTGTCTATAGCATACAATGCATCAAAACTAGCCAAATATGATGTGAATGTACAATATATATATATGTGTATAAAGCGCTGCGAAAATGACGGCGCTATATAAATACCTGAAATAAATTAATAAATACGGTTATCAGGTTAAACACCAAACTCGTGTTTACTAAAATTTAATACATGTATTCAAAGGGATCAGCATGACAGCCAGGCAACCAGCATTTTCAGGAGAAGAGTCAATAGTAGTAGCCACTATCTTTCTCTAATTAGAGGATCCCTTAACCCCTTAACTGGAGTTTTTTTAAACATGAAAATCACACAAAGTGGAACTTTAGTCCAGAATTACTAAAAGGGCAAACAGGCATGAATTTTAATGCAGATGAGACATGCTTTGTCTGCATTAAAAAGAGAAGTACAGCCAAAGCTCCTTTGGCTGTACTCCTCCTGTGGATCACAGGCGTGAAGTTCGTTCTGCACTCCTGTGAACTGCTTTCAGCTGATGTCACTCAGTCAGTCCAGGCTGGGGAGAGATCCTGACTTTAAAGTTGTGATCCACCCCAGAGTCTGGAGCAGCCCCTGGCGATCCTCTGATAGCCTGATCCAGCCGCTCCCTCCCCCTCCACAGCCCAGTGCTCTAGTGAGCACGGGCAGCAGGCAGAGCAGAGCAGACTGACTGACAGTCACCACTCTCTGCTCAGAGCAGCTGTGAGAACGCATCGATTAGCAGTCATGTGATCACTGAGTTCTCACATTTAGACCAGACCGATGCTGCATCCACCTAGGTAAGTATAATTGGGGAAAAAATCCAAACCACTACTTCTCTTTTAAAGTTACTCACCTGCAGGTGCACCCTTTGTACAGTGAGCTGCGCAGCTTACTGTACAAATGCGCCAATGCTGAACCTGACTGAACTCCCACGCATGCACAGGAGTGACATCATTCCCCCCCCGAAGAGGTCAGTGGCCAGGTGGGGAGCTCAGGGACGCTGCACTGCTGGAGCCAAGGGGAGTATAGTTCTGCTTTAAAATCCCAAAACTTTATTTATTTTTACATTTTCCTGAAAGCAGAGAGCCTGCAGAATCAAATGGTAGTATTTTTTAAAATTTCATACTATTTTTGTGCTACTGCTGATGAAACATTTTAGTAACATTTTACTACATTTATAGTAAAAAACAAACACACTCAAATTACTTTTAATGAACTCAAACAATATAATTTCCAATTCCAAAAAAAAAAACCCAAACAAACCCACAACTGTCCACAGCTTTAACAGCCTTTACAGGACATCATTTAAAGTTAACTGTGAATGACAGTTCTAGAAATATTGCTCCCACTTTAGCATGTGTGACAATACCTAATTTGCATTGCCCCTACAAGCTCAACAAACCTGTGACCCAGTGCTGCTTCTCTTCCGGGATGAATGTTTGGAGTCATTCAACCAATTTTGTGAACCCAGGTCACGAAGGACCCATCACCTAGGGATGTGTCATCAAGCTGCCCTGGGCTCATAGGAAACTGCTGCAGGGAAAGGTGCAACATCATTATTTCGTGCTATTTTCTGCAGGAGGACTTGTCTATCAGCAGAGGAAAAGAACCCGTAACCTCATGCGAGTAGATAAAAAACCCTTAGAGAAAAAAAAAAAAAAAAAAAAAAAACAAAAAAAGTGTGTGTATATATAATGTTTTAAAAAATAAAGGGTGCAGGGGGTGTTCTAAAGAAAGTAGGGGCGGGATAGAGGTTGGTTTTAAAGCTGAATTCTGGGAAGCTATTCCAGTACAGTCTCACTCCAAGATAAGACAGTATGCTTTGTCTCCTACCAGGTCAATTCACACCACTGCTATGTTCACTGAAAACAGTATGCTGGGGGCCAAGTTTAATTTTTGCGGCCAGCTCATCCTGTCTAGGCTTTTGTTGAAGGGTAATAGTGATCATAAAGCGTTAGGTTAATTGAAAATACATTTATCTTTTAATATGGCAATTTTTTGCCCCAGTATTGGCTGAAAACCAATCTACTGGCCTTTTCCTTGCCAGTAGATTTGGTGGAAAATGTGTATATATTGAGCTCTCTGTTTACCTTGTGCGGTAGCATGGTGCTCTGCAAACATTATAAAAAAGCCTCTAAAATAAAATCTGATTTAAAGAAATAGATGCAAAGTGTCGTATTTACCATTTTTTTTCTATTTCTGAACATAATAAAGTATATAATATTAATAACATGCTTTAGTCCTTTTACCTACAGCGAAGAGCACTTATCAGATATTTTGTACACCTAGTACACATACTCTTGTGAGAAGCAGTTTTGGGATCGAACTGTTCAATGTGTATGGAAAAAAAAAAAAAAAAAAAAAAAAAAACCCCAGCGATACGTGGATGCAAAAACACCTGATTTAGTGGTTTAGAAACTATACCTTCTCTTCCTGAGGTGATGAACAGTTATTAGTTCCTTGTCGACTATAGCTCCAACTATCTTGTGTTTCCTCCGCTTCTCACGTCTAATCAGGCGTCGCTGTTTTAGCAGATTTTTTTGCAAGTCCTGCAGAAACACACCAAAGGAGAACCATCAAATATACAGTATGTAAAATGTGATAATGACACCCTTCTCTTATTTGCTTCTTTTTTGGTCTGTTAACTTTACAGTTGGAAGCATTTTATTCTTTCTGTACAATAACTGCAAAAACCTGATTTTGTCTCAAATCCCTCAGATAAAAAAAGACCTCCTAGTTCTTATCTTGGGTTACACATGGTACAGCAGGCACATAGCAGGAATATGAAATGTTGGATTTACATGTGTTAATTTTGTCATGTTGGCATCTTTCTTTACTATATGAATGTGCATGCCTCATAAACATTTAACTGTAGAATATTAGTTTGCTTTCTCTAATTTTAGCCCTGGTTCACATATATGTGGCCATGCGGGCCGCATTTTGCGCGGGCATGAGAGCCCATTCATTTGAATGGGTCCCGTGCCCCCTGACAAGCAGGGAAGTCCCTGCACTTCTTCTGAAAATGCAACCCGCATGGGAAGCTCGGTTCCCAGTACGGTTGCGTTTTCCAGTGCAGGCAATGTGCCAATAGAATAGGAATGCGAGTCCGCATTCCTCCGTGCGGGTGGTGCGGCTGCACGGATTTTCGTGCTGATCCGCAGTGGCACCACCCGCACATATGTGAACCTAGCCTTATAGAAGTACTACAGGTAAAAAAAAAAATCAATCAGAAAATGTAGTGTATGTGTTTGCATTTTTTCTTTACATTTACAGCTAGGTATAATGGCAAAAAGCTGGTGATCAAAGCTCAAACTTGTAATCACTCCAATACTGTGTACTTTCACTGCCTTCCTGGCCAGGCCAATTTTCAGTTTTCAGCACTGTTGCACATTGAACGACAATTGTGCAATCATGCAAAACTGTACCCATATTAAATTTCTATAGTTTTTTTCACACAAATAGAGCTTTCTTTTGGTGGTATTTAATTACCACTGGGGTTTTTATTTTTTGCTAAATTAACAAAAAAAAAAAAAAGACTGAAAATTGGGAAAAAATACAAAACATGTCTTGCTTTGTTTCTGTTATAAAGTTTAGCAAAAAAGTAATCTTTCTTAAAAAATTTAGGCCAAACTGTATTCTGATACATTTTTTTGGGTTTAAATAGTTTTTTTCAATTTCAATTTTTTTTTTAAATTACATTTTCTTTTACGATTTGTTAGCACACTATGACCTGAGAAATATGTTACCATAGTAACTCTGGAGAAGTGATCAGGATTTTATTTTATTTTTTTTTTTTTTACACATTATGATTGCTTATACCAGTGAATTTCACTGGTATAAGAAACCATTTTTACTGAATTAAATTGATTCATTCAGTGTTTACTATTTTGGTTAGCTGTGCTTGGCACTTCAGCAACGAAGCAAGAGAGATGGCGACACGGTAGCTCCTGAGACCCAGAAGATGACCACTTCAGAAAACCAGCAGGCTAAAGCGTTTTTTTTTTTTTTTTTTTAGTATGGCTGCAGTAAAGGAAATCTAAAACTTACATTTTTATTTCAAGTCTGCTTTAAATGGAGTTCTACTTAAAGTGGAATTAAACTACAAAAATAAATAAATGCTGTCAGGAAGGATTTTTATGACAGAAGAGACTCTATTGATGTTGTTTGTCATAAATGCCATGTCTGTCTGTCAACGATAACGTACACCGAGTTGTACATGCACAGCACAGCGTGCATTTATGCCGTGTGCAGGGAAGGGAGATACAGTGGGTATAGAAAAGAATCACCCCATTTAAAATAATCATATTTTGTTGCTTTGCAGCCTGACATGAAGACAGACACAGTCTTTGTTTCATCCAGTGCAACTTATAACATCCAAGCGAAAGATATAACAGCAATATGTCATAAAAAAAAAAAAAAAAATCAAAAACTGAATCACTAAGTTGAAAAAAGGATCAACTCCTTGTGTCAGTATTTTGTTGAACTACCTTTTGCTTTTATTACAGCCTTTTGTTTGTTGGGATATGTACACTATATTACCAAAAGTATTGGGACGCCTGCCTTTACACGCACATGAACTTTAATGGCATCCAGTCTTAGTCCGTAGGGTTCAATATTGAGTTGGCCCATCTTTGCAGATATAACAGCTTCAACTATTCTGGGAAGGCTGTCCACAAGGATTAGAAGTGTGTCTATGGGGATGTTGGGCCATTCTTCCAGAAGCACATTTGTGAGGTCAGGCACTGTTGTCGGACAAGAAGGCCTGGCTCACAGTCTGCGCTCTAATTCATTCCAATGGTGTTCTAACAGATTGAGACCAGGACTTTGTGCAGGCCAGTCAAGTTGCTCCACCCCAAACTCGCTCAACCAGGTCTTTATGGACCTTGCTTTGTGAACTGGTGCTCAGTTATGTTGGAACAGGAAGGGCCATCCGAAAACTGTTCCCACAAAGTTGGAAGCACGAAATTGTACAAAATGTCTTGGTATGCTGACGTCTTAAGAGTTCCGTTCACTGGAACTAGGGGGCCAAGCCCAACCCCTGAAAAACAACCCATGCCATAATCCCCCCTCCACCAAGTGTTACACTTGGCACAATGCAGTCATGGAAGTACTGTTCTCCTGGCAACCCCCAAACCCAGACAGAGAAGCACGATTCGTTACACTAGAGAACACATCTACACTGGTCTAGAGTCCAGTGGCAGTGTTTTACACCATTGCATGCGATGCTTTGCATTGCACTTGGTGATGTAAGGCTTGGATGCAGCTGCTCCGCCATGGAAACCCATTCCACAAAGCTCTCTACACACTGTTGTTGTGCTAATCTGAAGGCCACACGAAGTTAGGAGGTCTTTAGCTATTGACCCTGCAGACAGTTGGCGACTTCTGCACACTGTGCTCTCTCATTTTACGTGGCCTACCACTTCGTGGGTGAGTTGCTGTGGTTCCCAGTTGCTTCCATTTTGTTATCAATACCACTAACAGTTGACCGTGGAATATTTAGTAGCAAGGAAATTTCACAGATGGACTTATTGCACAGGTGACAACCTATCACGGTACCACGCTTGAATTCACTGAGCTTCTGAGAGCAATCCATTCTTTCACAAATATTTGTAGAAGCAGTCTGCATGCCTAGGTGCTTGATTTTATATACGTGTGGCCGTAGAGGTGATTGGAACACCTGAATCAAATGATTTGGAGGGGGGTCCCAATACTTTTGGCAATATAGTGTATCTACTAACTTTGCAATATTTACCCACTCTTCTTTGCAGAACTGCTGAATTTCAGTTAAACTTGATGGTGACCGTTTGTGGACTGCAGTCTTCAAGTCATTCCACAGATTTTCAATGGGGGCTAAGTCTGGGCCATGACTAGGCCATGCAAGGACACTCACCTCTTTCTCCTCCAACCATTCTGTGCTCATTTTTACTGTGTGCTTTGGGTCATTGCCATGTTAGAAGGTAAACCTTATTCCCATTGACATCTTTCTGGCAGAGGGCAGCAGATTTTCCTCTTGAATTTGATGGCATTTTGCTCCATTCATTTTTCCTTCTATCCTTCCAAGTGCTCCAGTCCCTGCTGCAGAGAAACTCCCACGACAGGATGTTACCACCTCCATGCTTTACTGTAGGAATAGTGTTATTTGGATGGTATTAGATTTCCATCAGACATATCATTTAGAATTGAGGCCAAATAATTCAATTTTAGTCTCATCTGACCAGAACACCTTCCATGTGGCCTCAGAATCTTCAAGGTGCACTTTGGTAAAGCTCAGTCATGACTGCATGTGGCTTTTCTTGAGGAGTGGCTTTTTTCTTGCAACCCTCCTATACAAGTTGCATTTATGGAGAATGTGTGATCTTGTTGTTGCATGCACACAATGACCACTCTTTGTCATAAATTCCTGCAACTGCTTAAGAGTTGCTGCGGGCCTCTTGGTAGCCTCTCTGACCAATTTTCACCTGGCTCTCTCATCCAGTCTGGAATGACGTCCTGATCCACAGAGGGTCTGTGTTGTACCAAACACCTTCCACTTCTTAATAATAGACTTCACTGTGCTTCTAGACATTGATAAAGTCTTTGAAATTATTTTGTTTCCATCTCCTGATTTGTGCCTGTCCACAACTTTATCTTGGAAATCTTCTGACAGTGCCCTGCCACCCCTAGTTGATTGTTTGCTTCATTTACACTACCGGGACTGAAATACTCCAGGAAAGCTCTTTTCATGCTGAGCTATTCAAAATGTCCACAGCTGATCTTAGTTGACAGTCAAATTGCTTTGTATGCCATTGGAAGGTGATTAACTACACCTGATTGAGTTTACAAGTAATTTTTATGAGGGGGTGATCCTTTTTCAAACTTGGTGATCCTGTTTTTTATTTTTATTTTCTGACATTATGGTGTTATATCGTTCAGTTGGATGTTATAAAGTTGTAAATACAGCTGGATAAAACAAAAAACAGTTTGTCTCCATTTCAGGTTGCGAAGCAACACAATGTGAATATTTTAAAGGGAGTGACTATTTTCTTTACCCACTGTATGTCATCGCAGCCTGACAAATAAGGCCTCCGAGGAGTCTAAACCTGGAAAGAATATTGGAAGAAGATGAAAGAACCAGCAGTAGAACTGACAGTGCAGCACTGAAGAGGATCATTTGGCAGGCAAGTCTGCCAAAGGAGTTGATTTACTAAAATTGGGGCAGCGGTGCATGGTAGCCAATCAGCTTCTGACTTCAACTTGTTCAATTAAGCTTTGACCAAAAACCTGGAAGCTGATTGCTTTCTATGCAGAGCTGCACCAGATTTTGCACTCTCCATAAATCAACCTCATAACATGCTAATACATGGTGCATAAGAGTACATTAAAGCGGAGCGCCACCCAAAAGGGGAAGTTCCGCTTAATGCTTTGTCCTCCGCTCCCCATTAAGGATTGGCACCTTTGGGGAGCGGGTACCCGAATTTGACAGGTACCCACTCCCACTTCCGCTGCGATTGCCTTGGCGATCAGAAGCGGAAGTTGTCCTCCACCCCCCTCCCTCCCCGTAGTTTTCTGGGACACATGACAGCTCCCAGAATACTACGGGGCCATTCACAATGCACAGCGCTTCTCGCGCATTGTGAAACCGCAAGCTGTCACAGCCAGGTGCCCACACTAAAGATAACGGCACCAGGGAGAGAAGATGGCCGGTGAAACCAGCTGTGGTGAGGACACCACTGGACTGAGGGACAGGTAAGTGGCTGTATTTTAAAAGTCGACACAACTACAGTTTTTGTAGCAGCTGACTTTATTTTTTTTTTTCCAGCTGGAATTCCGATTTAAGACTAACACCTGTTGGGAGACTATTTAAAAAAAAAAAAATTTGCAAAGCTCAACTCTGCTTTAAGGCCCAGTTTACCACAAAAACACACTCCGGATGCGTTTTTGCTTACAGTTAACACCACACTCTGTTCCGGTGCATTTTTGATTCATTTTGCGGTTTTCCATCGCAGTTCTGTGCAGAGAAAATACAGCTTGTTCTACTTTTTTTTCTGCACCAGAAACTGACTGGAACTGACGGCACTAGTGTGAACTAGGGCTATTAGAATACATGGAAAACACAATTCATGCATTTTTGATGCAGGATATAAAAGCAGTGGACTGCATCTGGTGTGAACCAGCCCTAAAGTTGGTTGTACAAGTATTGATTTATGATCAATCTAGCTATCAAAACAAGCTATCCATCAAAATATCCAACAATGCAACACACGCAGAATCAATTGAAAATATGATTTATCAGAAGTGATCATTTAATTGTTCAGTATTATGATTGGTTGTCTGTCACACATGCATTATTTTGTGCAAGCAATCAGAATCCATAAAACTCTACTATGACTATTCGACTTGACAGAATCAAGTTTGGCTTTAATTTTGTTAGTGTATCTAAATCTGCTAGTACATCTAACACTTCCCTCCCTCCACACTGACAATGCTGCTAGCATCTTTGACCAATCTTCTTCAGGACTGAGATCTTTACCTAGTTTGATTGGCTGGTCTGAGGTGACATCACTCCTGTGCATGTGCAAGTGTTCATTCATCTAGGCAGATGCAGAAATTGTACATGTGCATGCAACAGGCCGTTATGAAGTCCCAAATATATAAACTGTCACTGTATTAAATGACAATGGCTGTGAAAGGGTTAACATCTAGGGCAATCAAAGGGTTAAATATTTGCCTAACCAGTGTTTTACTGTAGGCTATGTGCTGTTTTTACTAATAGATGTACTGGATTGCATGCCCTGCTTTGCAGGGAACGACAACCCAGCACATCACCAGTGACAGGACACAGCTCTGTCTTGTTTACCTAGGCAGAGCTGTGTTCTGTCACTCTCCATGACGATCAATGGGTGCCAGCGCTCATCCATTGGCCGGCATCTGTTGATCGGCTTCTGCTGTGTCGAATCGCAGCATGAGAGGGCATGCGTGTGCCCCCCTACATCGAAATTGCAAAAACACATTTCCATAGGTGATTTTGCACAGAACATCCATTCTTTCCTATAAGCAAATTGTGTAAAAAAAAAAATACTGATCACTTCCCCAAAGTAGCACAATGTTACTATGGTAACATACTATTTTGGTCATAGTGAAATATGAAAAGAAATCTTAACAAAAAAGAGAAAAAAAAAAAGTAATAAATTAAAACTAATAAAAAAAGAAAAAAGTTAAAAAAAGTATAATTTTTTTTTCATACTGTCACCAGTCAGTGTCCCTGATCACCGCCATGCCAGTTATATGATGACGCTGTACTGCACTGGTGACAGTATGTAAAAAAAAAATAGTTAAAATAATTTTTTTAATTTTTTCATTTACCGCAAAATTCTGACAAAAAAAATTACAACTTCAAAAAACTTGCCATGCCTCTTATGAAGTACGTTGGACTGTCTACTTTGCAAAAAGGGGTCATTTGGGGGATATCTGTACTGTTCTGACATTCTTGGACCTCAAGAAATTAGATTGGCCGTCAGTACTTCAGGATTGATCAATATTCAGATCTATACCATAGTTTGTGAACTCTATAACTTTCCTACAAACTAAATAATACATCCTAATTTGGGTTATTTTCACCAAAGAAATGTAGCAGAATACATCTTGGCCTAAATTTATGAAGAACAATTATTTATTTGCAAACTTTCGTAATAGAAAAAAGAAAAATGTGGGGTTTTTTTTTTTCAAAATTTTTTGTTAATTTAGCAAAAAATAAAAACCCCCAGTGCTGATTAAATACCACCAAAAGAAAGCTCTAATTGTGTGAAGAAAATGATAACATTTTAGTTTGGGTACAATGTTGTATGACCGCGCAATTGTCATTCAAAGTGTGAGAGCGCTGAAACCTGAAAAATGGCCTGGGCAGGAAGGGGGTAAAAATGCCCTGTATGGAAATGGTTAAAGAGACAATATAAAAATACATTTTTTATTTTATTTTATTTATAGAGCTCCCGTGCTTGAATGCACACTTCAACACACCACACGTGAGGTATCATGGTGAATGTCAGAGCGAGAGCAATAATTCTAGCCTCAGACCCCTTGTGTATCTCTAAACAGGTAACCTGTAAAGATGTTTAACCGGCTCCCGTCTGCCATATAGTATAATGATGGGTGCAAGGTGGTTCTCTCGTTCTGGGAGGACGTCACATGATGTCCTCCCATTCTAACTGCGCATGTGCGGCTCCCGGAGTGCGGCGATCGGCGGTGCACTGTGTCCCTCGGACGCAGCGGATCACCGATCCACGGAAAGAGCCGAAGATGTAGGCTCGGTCATGTGATCAGCTGTGTCCAATCACAGCTGATCACATGTAAACAGGGAAATGTCGGTTATCGGCATTTCTCTCCCCACGAGCTGTCACGCTGACAGCTCAAGAGGAGAGGAGAGCTGGTAATCGGCATTCCTCGGAGGGGACATGTACACAGATCATCAAAGCACTGATGATCTGTGTAGCCCCAGCAGTGCCACCTGTCAGTGTCCATCAGTGCCTTGTGTCAGGGCTCACCCATGCCACCTGCCCATCAGTGCCACATATCAGTGCCTACCAGTGCACATCAATGCCACATATAAGTGCCCATCTGAGCTGTCTTTCAGTCTCATCCATTAGTGCCAGTCAGTGCCACCTATCAGTGCTGCCAATCAGTGCCAGTCCATGCCGCCTATCAGTGCCATATATCAGTTCTGCCTTTCAGTGCCCATCAGTGATGCATGTCAATACCCATCAGTGCCACCTACCAGTGCCTTCCTATCAGTGGCCATCACTGCAGCCTCATTAGCGCACATCAGTGAAGGAGAAAAATCACTTATTCTCAAAATTTTATAACAAAAACTAAGAAAAAACTTTTTTTTTTCTCACAATTTTCAGTGGTTTTTGGTTTGTTTAAGAAAAAATAAAAAAAAACCCAGAGGTGATTAAATACCCCAAAAATAAAGCTCTGTCACAAAAAAAATATAAAAATGTCATATGGGTACAGTGTTGCATGACCGCGCAATTGTCATTCAAAGTGGAACAGCGCTGAAAGCTGGAAATTGGCCTGGGCAGGAAGGGGGTATAAGTGCCCTGTAGGTGAGTGGTTAAATTGTCATCTATAGAGATTTTTTAGGTACCTTAGTTGTTTTTTTGTTTTCAAAAAAATTGTGTTTAAAAAAACTGGTGCGCAAATACTGAGTGACAAAATATTGCAACACTCACCATTTTATTTTCTAGGGCCTCTGCTTAGAAGAAAAAAAAAAAACATATAAAATGTGTTGGGGTTTTGATGATGATTTTTAGACGTAGGAGAGAAGTGTCAGAATAGGCTTGGGAAGCAAGTGGTTACGTGGATCCTGCATTTTAGGGTCACCATACACCAGCCTCTCAACAAGGGTGCTCAGGGGTTTCTCCAGGGGTGCCTTGGCAAAATGTCTAAAAATTGCCCAAAACTTGTATACAAGCCAGCAGGTAGATCAAGCCAGCCTTTAGTTACACAAAGCCACAGGTGTTCATTGTGCACCATTACGACCTTCTAGCACTGGCATCCTGACAACCAATGACATCATCAGTTGATAAGGAGGATGTCAGCTGCCTGCACAGCATCCTAGTTTTTCCCTCCCCTGCCCCTCTCCATCAGTGCTGGGGTCACATTAGCTCCGTGATGGAGAAAAACTGGAGGGAGAAGAGAAACATTGGTATACTAGTCAGTAGCAGTGTGCAAACGTGTATTTGCTTTGGAAGAATAAATCGCCTCTAATGTTGGGTGTCCTACATGTGTGGATGTTGTTGATTATATTATTATTATACAGTATTTATAAAGCGCCAATAGTTCGCTCAGCGCTGTACATTACAAAGGGGGACAGAACATGTGACAGAACAATAACAATACAATGCAAAACATGAGAGGATTGAGGGCCCTGCTCTTTCGAACTTACAATCTAGGAATATATAAAACTTTTTACAGTTAGAATGGGGTGCCTCAAGACTTTCCATAATTTTAAAGAGTGCCTCGCGGCTGTCAGTAATTTTTTAGGGTGCCTTGACTGAAAAAAGGTTGAGAAATTCTGCCATACACCATACAACCTGACCATACAATCTTTGAACAATCAACTTTAGATTCACGAAAACTATGTGACAAGAACCTACCTAAACTATCCAATCAGTCAGTATCCAGACAGCCCCTCACACTACTTAGTTGTTGTTAGATCTGCAGGAGATTGTATTGTGTGTGGTGAGTGACCCTAATGGCAGAAATACGAAGTCATTCCACAATCCCAGAACCTCTGCGGTTGTTACTAAGTAATGCAGAGTACATGTACATCACTGCCCTTAGTAAACATGTCACCTTCCCCCTCCATATGAAGGACCCCCAGTGATCCCCAGTACCGTCTTTGGTCGGTTGATTTTTCCTCCTGGAGCCATGCTGTTCTCTCATGTACTGCTGTTCTCAGCAGCAACACTTCCGCCTCATTGCGTTCCAAGCCTCGTTCTCATCTTCTGGCAGGAAAGGGCGTAACTAGCCTGCCCTATAAAAGCATTGGTCGCGCCCAGTTCGTCCTCTGTTCTCGGTGGAAGGTGAGTGTGGTGGGTTTGAATTGGGGGAGGGATGGTGTTCGCGCCTCCATTTCTTGGCACGCTGGGTGTTGTCGGTACCCCAGTGTGTAATGTACGGAGGGAGAGTATTCCCGGTGCTATGTCTTCGGTGCCAGCTTTTACAATGGGCTGGTTCTATCCTCAATCACTGGGACAAGCGGCAGCCGTGCGGGAGAGAGCTCTACAGACGGAGAGCAGCGCTGCTCCTTCACCAGTAGGGGGAGCATGTCGCCCAATCCCGGAGCTTCTCTCGGCTCTGTAGAGCATGGCGGCGGGAGGTTAGGCCAGGTTATCCCGGGGGGAGGGTTGGTGGTGTGTGCGCTGATACTTCCGGTGTCACTGAGCAGGGAATTAAGTGTATTACCTAACTGGGGACGCAGTAATACGGCTCACGTGATGGATGGTAAAAATAAGTTTTATTGACCACCTCAAGTACAAGAGGCAGCTCACATGCTGTCCAATGCTTTGTACTGTGGAGGCCCTGCCTGTCTAATATGACCATTCAGCCCCTGTGATGCAGATGTAAGAAATGCTTGGCTCATGGTGATGGCTCAATACATCCTCCTGGAGAGAAAAAAAAAAAATTCCAGAAGATTGCTTCCTGAATGTCTGGTGGCTGCTTAGCCACACTCTGAAAAGTAATCCACTGCAGATTGCTTTTCAGGGAATTGAGTACAATCTTGCTAGAAGGACCTTGTGAGCTGCCTTCTGCTGTGTACTGTCTGGGACATTATAAAGGGGATTGAAGGGTTAATGTGTGCTGCTGAGCATTTCAGGCTCCATTTGCACCTGAGTGATTTGTAGCCCAAAGCTTGAGGAGAGCATCATTTCTCAATTGAGATGGTCCACTCCAAGTCACCTGAAGCTCAATGTTCTGGGGGTTTTTTTGTTGCTCAAATTGGGCCGATTTATGTGTTTGAGCACTTTTATTTCCATGGAACTGCATGGTTCATGCATTTTGCCACATGTTTCTGGGCCATTTTTCTGCTTCAATGAAAGATGTTTAAAAAATCTTTTTTTTTTTCTTGGCTGTAATTCATTGTATTGTTAGGGTGTTTATTATGCCATAGCCAAAAAAATGAGATCATAAATAAAATATTAACCCTAAAGATTACTTTCACGTTTGAGGTGTTGTTTACATGACATGAGACACAAACTCAATGCGGGGGCACCTTTAATTTTTTTTTTTTTTTTTGTGATCTGCACTCAAAATGCAGTAAGCAGAATTTTAAATTGCACCGAACCCTCAATGGGTCAGTGAGACAGTTCCATAGGAAAGTTGATCAGTGTGAAACTGGCCTGATGACTAACCTCAAGGGCTGGCCGGTTCACACTATAGAAACGCGGTCTGGGTGCATTTAAGTGTCTGTTTTTTGGCGTTTACTGGTGTGTTTTGAATGCTTTCCAGTTAATTGTTCCCCTCTTTCTTCAAATGAAATGGGGACATCTGTGTTTTGCTGCATTCCAGTACAATTCTGTACAGAAAAAAAGCAGCATGTTTTACTTTTTTTTTTTTTTTTTTTTTTTTTTTTTTTTTTTTTTTTCTTCCCCCAACTGCAAGCACTGATTTACTTTCTGTGCATTTTGGATGCAGAAAAAAGCAACTGAAATGCATGTAGTGTGAACTGGCCCTAACTCTGGTCCATTACCCTAACAAAAAAATGAATGCACAAAATTAAAGCTGGAAAACTTAACAAAAACATTTGGTTTTTTTTTTTTTTTTTTTCCCCTCTATTGGCCACTAAACTGCTAAAGCTCAAATTGGATGTGACACTCAGGTGTGAATGCAGCCGCATGCAGATGTACTCCTGTGTGGGGATGCACAGGTAGTCCAGTTCATGTCTATTGGAATGCAGGGGTGGCTTCCTTGACAGCCATGCGGGTACACAATCCCAAATACAACCTGTCCATGCTTGATGCCATGTACCTGCACAGCTGTTAATATGGGAGCAGCGGCTCCCATGCAGGCAAACGTGGCTCTCACACAGGTGTCCGCTGTAGTATGCCTGTATGAACAAGGCCTTAGTGAGCAATACATATTGCAGAGAACCTGGAAAATGATGAATGGAAACCCTTTATTTGGGCTTCCATGTGCAGCCTCAATTTTGCTTGAGGTGATTGTAGCCGTATCAGTGCATTTGCGGCAGAAACAATTGAGTACTGTCCGATACTTTTTTTATTCACACTAACAATTTTGAGGACAAGCTTTTGGGCACGTCACACTGCGGTTTTAGATCAGCCGGTCCTTCGGTCACGAGTTTGGTGAGGAGGTCCGGGGTCTGACGCTGCGGGCGTGACGTATTGTTGGTCGCGGGATTGTCGCATGTTGAGGGTGGCGATCGTGTGTCCGTGATACTTTTTTTTTTTTTTTTTTTTTTTTTTTTTTTTTTTTGCACTAACAATTTTGAGGACAAGCTTTCGGGGAGTGTCCCCTTCCTCACCAAACTCGTGACCGAAGGACCGGCCGATCTAAAACCGCAGTGTGACGCGCGTAACAATGCGAAGCGCTTTACAAAATGAAGGTCGACATTACAGTTCCAATACAATTCAGTACAAGAGGAAACAGAGGGCCCTGCTTGTTACAGCTTACAATCTAGGAGGAAGGGTTGAATGATACAAAAGGTAATAGCTGTGGGGGGATGAGCTGATGGAGGAAATGGCGGTTATTGGGTAGAAGCAGGATAGACTTCTTTTAACAAGGTTTTCAGCGATCATGTAATGAGTTTTTGGAGCTGTGGAGAGGGATCACTTGGCTGTTGGTGCCAGCTTAGCTGGTGCCTCTGTCTGAAGCTGCCAATTTGCCATGTGATGAGGAACAGTCTCAGGTGTTGATGGCATGTACAGTTTCTGGAAAATGCCTGATTGACATGGTCAGCTAGTGTAAGACAAAAGGACGTTGTGCAGGATTGTGACCCAAAATATCACTTTTCTCATTCCAGGTTACAATCCTGTGCAATATCTTTGTCTTTCGGTCAATTGAACTTGTTGACCATGCTTATGCCTATTAGACTAAATTTCCCAGAAACTGTATATGCCATCATAACCTTTGATACTGTACCTCGCAACACAGCAAATGGGCAACTCCAGTCAGAGGCACCAATAATTTGTCCTCTTTAAAGCTCAGTAAGCTCTGACATGACTCTGTAATAATAGCAGAGCACACGCATCACCTAATGGTTGAGGTGTGTAAAATCTGATTCTGGTTACAAAACTCAAGGCTGTGACTGTATTGTGCTACTGAGCACCCTGCTACGATAGTGTGCATGTTTGTAAACGCAGAAGAGCGCTCATCCATGCTATGCTAGGGGCACACTAAATGGTCGGAGGGTCCCAGCTTATATTCAGGATGGAACAGATCTGTCAGGATAGTAGCATTCAGCCAGCCCTTAAAGTGGTTATAAAGTCACAGATATTGAATACTTGGGTTACTTTCACACTGATCCACTGCAAAATTGCATAGGTGGTTTTTGCTGCGCTTTCTGAGTTTTTAAAGGACATGTGACTTAAAAACTGCACCCAAAATGCTTCTCAAAGGCATTTTTGAGGCATTTTTCAGGTGGTTTCCATTGATTTTATTAGGAAGAGGGCTTTTTTTTCTTATTTTAAAGATGAATGTTGCTTGTAAACTTAGTTGATTTTAAATGCTGTAACTTGTGTGAGATGGAAGGTTAAATTTCTCAAAACATTGTGTTCTCTTTCAGGGCTATTTGAGGTGAGAAAAACAAATGAGAGCTGCTGGCTGTTGTGACTGGTTCTACAGTTGCACTTCATACTCTTCTTGAAAGCAGCCTGATGAAGACTAAAACACAGGCGCTGTGTGCACTTCTATGAAAAGCAGAACGGATATCACACAAGCAAGAGTTACGAGAAACCTAGCTAACAAGTGGGAAGCCTCACTTTTGTCATTCACTGCACGTGCTACTAGTAAGTCATGTCAGAGCTTACAGAGTTTCAAAAAGGGCAAATTGTTGGTGCCAGCATAGCTGGTGCCTCTGTGACTGAAATTGCCAATTTAGTTGGGGTGTCACCAGGTACAGTGTCAAAGGTTATGGCAGCATATACAGTTTCTGGTAAACCATCGTCTGATAATAAGCGCAGTCGACATGGTCAAGTGACCAAAAGACAAAAGGACACTGTGCAGGATTGTGACCCAGAATAAGAACTGCTAAAGTGACTGCAGAGCTCAGTCTTCCAAAGCAAAAACTTAATGGACAAGCTGCAATTGCCAAACCACTAATAATATGAGAGGTGGTGCAGCACTCTAAATTGTGGACTGTGAATGGAAGACTCTAATATGGTACAAATTGAGCTTCACACAGTTTCCAGGTGTGGGTTTTTTTTTTTTTGTCAAAGCTGAAGAAGCTGGCTACCATGCACTTTCCTTGGACGCAACAATTGCCTAACCTAAATCTCATAGTTGATATTGTCTAAACCTTGTTCTCCAAAATTGACCATAGTGGCACTTTCTTTCCTTTACTTGGTGTTTCCATGACTTTGTATGACCCCTGTACCTTGTAACTGTCTTTTTAAATAAACTTATTAAAACTGTCATCCTGGCTTTTATATATTGAAAGTTCTGTTAGACTAAATTTATTTGATGCTGATCTGTTGAAAGTAAGGGACATGGTCACATGTGGGTTTTGTTTAGATCATGGCTCTGTTTGCACCACAAGTAGTAACTTAGTTGCTGTGTAGGGGCCCAAGTTGTGCTAAAATGTTGTGGCTAGACTAAGTGATGCTAAAGATCCTGTAGCATGCTTGCTCCTGAGCCACATGTGTCTGGTGCATGGCTTGACCCTAACTCCCTTCTTTCTGGCTGTGATTTGAAA